CTCTCTCTCTCTCTCTCTCTCTCTCTCTGTGTGTGTGTGTGTGTGTGTGTGTGTGTGTGTGTGTGTGTGTGTGTGAAACGCACACGCACGGCCGGTGGCATGCACGCTAACAGACACGTTGTGCGGGAGGCAGTGTACCAAATCAAATTGAACGCTCGTGCCGCGTCAGAGGGTTTTCTTTCTTCAAGGCTCCGGGAGATGTTGACAGGAAAGACCTGTAGCAGCACTAGCGGTAGGGAGTAGAGAGTAGAGAGTCGAGAGTAGAGAGAAGAGAGTAGAGAGTAGAGAGAAGAGAGTAGAGAGAAGAGAGTAGGGGGAGGGGGAGTTGCGAGGAAGAGGTAGCAGCGGCTCTCTCTCTTATGCCCGGAGCTGAGCAGTGTGCCATCTCTCCTTCGTCTTCGGCTTCGTCTTTCTTCCGATTCTTCGTCTTCGTCTCTCTTTCCCTCTCTTTGTACTTTTCCTTCTCCTCCTCAATGCCCTCATCTCCTCGGCGCACCGCACTCTATAGCGAATGGGAATCCCTTTTTTTCCACGCGACGTTCTCCCCTGAGTCACCTCTTCACGCGACGATCTCCCCTTCTCCACGCAACGTGGAGTTCGTATCCGTCTGAAGACCCTGAACAGTGCCCACCACAGCCGCGCTTCGACCCCAGCAGCAGCGGAGTTCTATAGCTTCGGCCGACTTCTTCTATCCTACCCGGCGCGGCGTACCCGCCGAGCTCCCGAGTCATTCTGTACGGCTTTGCGTATTGTTTGCGTAATGCTTGTGCCTCAGTCTTAGACTCGTAGACTCGTAGTCAGTGTGTAGCAACTACTAGCAAGTACTAGCAAGTAGTACTATAGTAGCAGTCACTTCTTGTAGTGGAACCGGTGTGAGATTGTCCATCCGGAAGTCACAGGCCTACCGAGGTGAACAGCAAGAGTAGTCGATCATCGGTCTGGAGACTGAGTAGAGTTGAGCACACTTAAGTCAGCTTGAGAAGGGCTAAAAATAGAAGTAGAGGAGGGGGAGAAGCAGCAGCGCGGTGAGAGGGGTGAGAGTCGGGGGGAAAAGGGAGGAGGGGGCGAGCCTCCACAGCTCGGTGAATTGGCGTTGTCGCCGTTCCTCGTTCGTCCGTCTCCCTTGCGTCTCTTTGCGATACCAGGCTACCAGCCGCCTCCCTCTTCGAGTCTTCGTTGAATGCAATTTGTGCCACGGGCGTGTCTCGCGTGCGTGTGAGGCGCGGGGGGAAGCGGGAGAGGGGAAGAGAGAATCTGATTAGCTTTCACGGAAATTGCCTACCAATCCACACACACACACACACACACACACAC